TAATTCACTAAGGCATCGTCGACTTCTTTGTCCGACTGTAATCCGTAAACTGTTTGGCATAGTTTAATCGAAGGTATGAAGACCAAGATGGTGTGGCTTTTTGTATGGACGCGGTCTCCTTTCGTTGTATAGGGGTTTCTTCCCGCAAAGATTTTAATGGTCTCCCTAATCTTCCGTCTCCTAAGACCCTTCTTTCTGTTGCCTCATATCAATGCTGAGTCTAACTTATCGCTTGGCTGCTACCAATGTGGATCACATCTTATTACTATATCTCACTTAAACCTAGATTTTTTCCTCACGTTAGCTTGCCTCAGATGTCTAAATTCTGAGAGGCTACAACCTCATCATGACCCTTTTTATTAGCTCTTGAATAACTTTCGCGAAAATTTTATACTGATAATAGAATTGGCCTTTTTGATACCCGTCAAATGCTCTAATAACTATTTTAAAGATTACTTTAACTTTGGAGTCAATTTACTAATCTTTCACTTATTACCTAGTATCTATGCATTTCACAAATCTAGCAAAATGTCTATTGCAGGGGGGGAATCAGGCCAGGAAATTGATCTTTAACCATACATTTACATCTTCATAAACATGTATTTTTTATAGAAGTGGGTTGAACATAACAGAGGCCACAACATCTTGGTCTTCATATATTCTATGAAATTTTTATCTTTTTTCGTTCTGCTCTGTCAGTAATGTCCTACCCCTCAGAGAGCAGCTTGGAATCAGGCGATAGCAGTACAATAGAATTGGTGCAATCTCTTCTCGACACTTCCTTTTTAAGTGCATATGCGGTGTACAATCTGAGCCCGTCCTCTTATCATTCTGAGCATTGGTTTGGTGGCCGTGTCTCCCATCGGCCATTCGAGGCAAACCGAGCACCTTCTCTGCGTTCCCTTGTTGAACTCTGTCTGAATGCTCGCCTTTGGCTGAGTCAGAGCCAGAAGAACGTCTGCATTATACATTGCACAGACGGCCGGAATCTTTCAGCCATCTTCGTATGTGCTCTGCTACTATTTTGCGGTGTTTTTGACAAGACTATTTCTGCCATCCGTCTTTTTACCGCTCGTCGAGGTCCCCCTTGTTTAACGGCCTCACAGATTAGGTACGAACTTGTCAATCTGACTGATAAGTGGTCATATTTACTAACCGCTAAAGATGACATAAATATTTATAAATTTATTTGCCGGTTTTGCCAGAATTTTTAATACAAAAATAAATTTTTGCAAATTTTTTTTATATTCATATGACTGTCAATAAGAGATATAATGGTAATACCTTTTGCATTTTTACTGTGATTTCTAGACCTGAGTCATCCTTTTTTTACTACACTTTCTAGTTCACTGAGTTAATGGATAACCTTCTCAATAAAATTCCATCATAACATCATAGGCTACGTTGTAGTGTTTTTTCCGGCAATTCAATATTTCCCACTTTGCCATATACTTCTCGAATTATTAGCCTCTATGGCCTCTCTGAGACAATTTTCTGGCCTTTGCAAATATTTTAACAAAGATCCATTTATGCAAATTTTTTTTCAAAGATGACTGGGCGTTTATCTGAAAATTCTGCTTCCAGTCTATCGTAGCCTTTTGATTTCTAAATGGTTCGATCTTACTGCTTCTGATCTGGCTTGTTGCTCTTTGATGAATCTTTAAGCTTATATATAATTTGCATCTCATTTTTGCACTGTTAGTCTAATCTCCCTTAACCATCCCAAGCTTGCCAAGCTTCCCAACTTATCTGCATTTTTAAGCGGCATTCTTTCAAAATGTATTTTTCCACCTGTAAGGATGATCAAACTGGCCATAAATTAATGCCATATTCCAGTGTCTGTCCTTCATTCATATTAAAACTATTGCCTCAGTAACGGATATCAAATGATAACCTGAGCGATCATTATCTACGCACACGATTCTGTTCTTTTATTCTGCAACTCTATATTAGAGCAATAACTTGCTCCAACGATATTATCGAATAACTTGCCGCTCGGTCATTCCTTTTAGACACAGACGTTTTAATAATCTCTCATATTCTTGTTTCTCTAACTTTACTTTTACAGTTTTATAGATATCGAAAAATTGAAAGTATGCTGTTTATCCGGCTGATTATAGAACAACTAAAGACATGACAGTTGGCATTGTGCATAATTCGAATTCCCAAGCTAAACTCAACTTAATTGTGTATCTCTTCTAAACACAATTCCAGTTTTTTGTTATTGTTACTTTTGCCTAAGTTTTTCATTACAGAGAAAATACAGTTATCTGAGCCTGCCACCTAGTCTTAACTCCCGCTCTATTTCAGTCCATTAGCCTGTTTTATTCAGATGATTTGTTTTGTCCTCCAATCTTGCAGAAATTTTGTAGCATGTACTAACAATAGGCCCCTCTAACTCCTTCGTTGCGACTGGCCAACGCCTGATCATCAATCGGTTAATATTACTATTTTGAGGGGACGTAGACAAATAGGGCTTGTTCGATAATATGGAAGTTCTGGCAGTTTCTATCAGCATTACCAGTTTTATCCACGGAGACCTGTTGAAAAATGAATTCCTAATTGATTTGTTTGATCTGTATATTAATCTATCCATCTTGAAAAGCAGGGTAATTTTTGTGTTCAAATGGCCCATCTCTCCTTAGAATTAGATTGGCTATATTTATTTTGATTATCATTTACTGGGTTAATTTATATAGAAGTATCTCTAAGTTTATCTTATACCTTACATTTTTTGTCTTTCAAGCTAAATTCTCAACTTACGAGGCACTATTGATAAAATGATTTTGCCATCCCCTAAAATAATGATTATCATCACAAATTATCTATACATAATGGTATTCGTTGACTTGTTGTCTTTTAACTTGTTTATTCTGGGTTTTGTCCCAGCTGGGCTGCTGATGAAACCCAGATCGAGCATAAACTACGACCTAGGCTAGAGAAAGTGGACTCTTGATTACGAGGTGCAGTGAGTTTATTTTGCAAATGAAAATCTTTTACTCAATGACCAACCTTCAATCTATATAGGACCAATAACCTATTTTTCGCGTTCATTTAAAAAAAAGTCTTTTAATATCTTAGGCGTCACATCACTTTTAATGCACTCTAACCCAGGCTCTTTATATCGTTTTATTGTCTCTCTTAGATACATCGGTTACATCCGCCACCTGATCTCGGAGAAGCTTCCACATCATCGCGCGGTCGCACTAATAAGTCTTACGATGAGCCCTGTTCCCACTTTCAACAAATTAAAGTAAGGATTGAAGATATGAAGATTAAGATGGTGTGGCCTTTTGTGTTGTCGCAGCCTCCTTTAGTTGTATAGAAGTTGTTTGACCTTGTTTTCGCAACTTGGTCATATTGGTAGGAAGATTTAGAGGAACGCACCTTGTCCTGACTCCATTGTATGCATAATTATTTCCAAAGTCGGACCGTGGACGTGGTACATTCCCAGACGTTTCGCCGGCA